TCTCTTAATGAATAATGGGTGTGTTTTGGGAGTAACGTGCAATAAACCAATCAGAGTCTTATCTCCCATTCCTTTTAAAAGCCAGTTGCGCTCGCGCTATTCCAAGTGGAAAAACTGAACGCTTCTCTAGCGAGGAAGCAAATCTGCTTGTGCGCGAGGTTAAAGCGCTCGAGCAGACCATCTACAGGACAAAGTGTATGCGCGTTGTGGACCCGTCTATAGGCACACATTACTTGTGCGCCCTTTAGTATGAGGTGAAGTAAAAACATGATGGCGCCGTTGTATGTGGCTCGCCGTCTGTTGCTCTCCTTCTCATTCTTAAATTTTGTGATTTTATGTTTGTTTTTATGTTTGTCGGACTGCAATATGTCATTTGTGTATGATCGTCAAACATTACTAAATATCGGCATAACTATCGATTCAACCAACAGAGACGTTGATGAATATTGCCGATTTCCACCACCTGCGCACCAGCACCTTCCTGCACAACTGCGCTGGTATCTCGCTGATCTTCCTTGGAGGCGACGGCGTCGGAGGAACCGCGGCAAGCGGGGTGGAATTGTCTTCGCCCATGTGGCCTCTGTCCATCATGGCCTCCTAATCATCCCCATATATATATATATATATATATATATATATATACACTGATTGGCTTCATCACTCTGTCTCCTCTCCACCAGTAAGCTGGTGTGTGGTGAGCGTTCTGGCGCACTATGGCTGCCGTCGCATCATCCAAGTGGATGCTGCACATTGGTGGTGGTTGAGGAGATTCCCCCTTCTATGTGAAGCGCTTTGAGTACCTAGAAAAGCGCTATATAAATGTAATGAATTATATTATTATATATATATATTATTATATGTGTACTAGTCCTGCGCTAACCTGTGAGCGCCGCTTCGCCAGTGCCTCTGCATGGTCTTTCCCCTCACATCGGTGGCTTCGACCTGTTTTTCAAAGCTCTTCGTCTGCGCTTTCGCGCATCGTCTCCCCCAGCTTTCGACGTCGTGGAGTGAATCTTCTTAATCTTCGCTTGCTGACGCGAACAACACAGCTGGAGGAAGCTGCACCGCCACTTAAGGTGGCTTTGATCAACGCCCGGTCAGTAGTAAACAAGACATTTTTAATAAACAATTTCTTCACGACGCAGGATTTGGATATCTTATTTATTACTGAGACATGGATTAAACCTGATGAGTTAAGTCCATTCACTGAACTAGTTCCACAGGATTGCCTTTTCTTTGATTCACCGCGGCTATCTGGCCGTGGTGGGGGACTAGCGTCAGTGTTTAAAAAACATTATCCCTGCCGCAGTCTAATAACTAGCCCTTGCCGCACCTACGAAGTGCAATTGGTGCAGCCCACATCAACTAACTCACTGGTATTTGCCTTGGTTTATCGTCCGCCTCAGCCGAATAAGGATTTTTTAAATGAGTTTGCAGAGTTTGTGGGGGATCTTGTTACTAGATATGATAGAATTTTAATTTTGGGTGATTTCAACATTCATGTGTGCTGTGACTCTAAGCCACTCTCCAAAGAGTTTCTAAATCTTACTGCCCCTTTTGATTTGGATCAGTGGGTGTCTGGCCACACTCATATTCAGGGACATACTTTAGATTTAATTTTATCACGTGGTTTACTTGTATCGGTACATTAGCATCAGTAATACTGGTATGTCGGATCATTTTCCGATTCTGTTCTCTCTACCTTTTAATGATACTACACATAAGCATCATACTTGCTCACGGATGACTCAAATTTTTAATGACTGTGCAAAGGAGGACTTTGTGGCATTATATCCCGGTTTACATGAGAATCTAGACATGGTTCCATCTTTAAGCTCCTTAGATGCTGATAATCACTTGAATTTGTTTAATTCTATTTGCTCTAATGTCTTAAATGCTGTTGCTCCTCCTAGGGAAAAGAAACATAAACATAATCATGCTCTAAAACCATGGTTCAATGACAATGTTTGTTCTCTCTGACAGATCTGTAGAAGGGCTGAACGTAAGTGGAACAAGGACAGACTACATGTTTCCCATGAAATTTTAAAGGATTCCTTCTCTGCTTTCCAGCGAGCTGCTAAAGCTGCTAAATGTAACTACTTTTCTGAGCTGATCCGACTTAACAGTAATAGGCCCAATGTTTTATTTTCAATAATTGATTCTGCTCTAAATCCCCCTACAAATCAGTTCCCAGAGATGTCGGACTCTCTCTGTGAGGAATTCGCAATATATTTTAATGAGAAGATCTCACTGATTAGATCTCAAATGCCTTTGTCAGCCTGTATGCCACTTGGAGTCCCCGTATGCTCTTCCATATGGTCTGTCTTTGAGCCTGTCTCCTTTGACTCTATAAATGAGATTGTTGCAATTTTAAAACCTACTAGTTGCTTTCAGGATGTGATTCCCACTATATTTTTTTAAGCAGGTATTTCGTGCTATCGGTCCTGATTTCTTGTCTTCACACCGGGGTTGTTCCCAAGAGCCTGAAACATGCTTCAGTTTTGCCTAAGCTTAAAAAAAATCACATTTGGATTCGACAATTCTGAGTAACTTCCGCCCAATTTCAAATTTACCCTTTATCTCAAAAATTCTTGAAAAAGTGGTTTTGAGTCAACTCCAGTCTTTCTTGAATGATAGTCAGATTTATGAGAAATTTCAGTCTGGTTTTAAATCTCGTCACAGTACGGAATCTGCACTTTTAAGAGTCATGAATGATATATTGCTGACCACTGATACCGGGCAATCTATGGCTTTTGTCTTGTTAGATCTTAGCTTTGCTTTTGACCTGGTCGATCACAATATTTTAATTTCTCGTCTTGAAGCGTCCATGGGTTTTCGGGGTACGGTGCTACAATGGTTCCGCTCGTACTTATCTAATAGGACTTACTCTGTCCGTATTGGGCAACAGTGTTCTTCAGAAATGAAACTGGGGTCTGGCGTTCCTCAGGGTTCTATTCTTGGCCCGGAACTGTTTAATCTATACATGCTCCCCTTGGGTTCTATTTTATCTAGACATGGGGTTTCTTTCCATCTGTATGCCGATGACACTCAAATGTACTTGCCTTTGAAGCGTGATGACAAGCTTGCTTTAAAGCCAATATTGGACTGTCTGGATGAACTGAAACTCTGGCTTTCTAGTAACTTCTTGAGTCTCAATGAGAGCAAAACTGAAATGATCTTGTTTGGCCCCAATGATCGTAGTACTCATGATTTTGATCTACAAACGTTGTTACCATATAGCACCACCTGTGTTCGGAATTTGGGGGTCTGGTTTGAAAACAACCTTAAATTTGATAAGCAGATAAGTGCTGTGGTTAAGTCCTGTTTCTTTCACCTCCGCCTTTTAGCTAAGGTTAAGCCCTTCTTGTCTGCTAAGCACTTTGAGATTGCCATACATGCATTCGTAACATCCAGATTGGACTATTGTAATTCTTTATATATTGGTGCCCCTCACAAATGCATCACTCGCTTACAATTAGTCCAAAATGCAGCTGCACGCCTTCTCAAAGGGAAGCGTAAATTTGAACACATTACACCAGTGCTGCCGTGCAAAGGCAAAAGACCGTAACTTCGTTTTTGGTCGAAAATGAGTTATTGATATTTTTGGCACATTCAAGATTTCCTTTATCATGTGGATAAGTATCTTGAGTCAATTCCGTTGTTTTTTCGAGAAAATAATGGGTTGTCTTAACCGTAACTTCCAAAAGCCCATGAGAAAACAAGGCAGAACACCGTAACACCAGTTACCGCTCTTTGGCTTTGTTTTGGAACGCTCATATTGAGTTACGGCACTTTGCCTTTGTTTAGCCGTGCGTCAATATGAAGTTACTGTGCTGGCGTTCTATCAAATAAAGCTACCTATCAGATTATACGGTGTTCTGCCTTTGTTTTACTCTCCATTAAAATTGAAATTACGATGTAGCCTGTGTACTTACAGCTGCCATCAGTCCCTGTAACTTCTGATGTCCTCAGAGCTTTGTCCTGCACTAATGCGGTCAGATAGTAAGAAAGTTTTACACATGCCGTAGCAGGTTAATACATAGCAGGTTAACTAAAGCCCCGCCTCACCCTATATGGGGAGGCTGCAGACCTGGAGCCTGCAGATATACACCCCTGGGAGTTTTACGCCCCTGACAGTTTTACGCCCCTGTTGTTCCTGATGCGTCCAGTAGGGGGATATACTGCGAAATAACATTATTAAATCGACGCGTGCACATTAATAACTCGTCCATAGACTTGACAATTTTTTTGTTTTTTGTTAATTTAAATATAAACGCTACAGTGTAGATCTGCATAGATTAAAATGTCTGTAGATATTCAGTTGGGCTTCACTCTCTTCACTCAGCCTACAAAAGAATATGAGTTTTTGTGAATTGAAAAATTTAAAATACACATAGTTGGATCAATTATGTTATGACAAGTAGGCTATATGACCTGCTGCAGTTATAGGCCTATTCACCGTAGGATTTTATGGGAGACTGAGTGAAATATGTTATGAATTTATATAAAGTTACATTTAGATTTTAACCAAATTCTGCTGTACTATTCTCTATTGGTCGTCATACAGCTACAAAACAGTGTCCTAGCATTTTATGAAGACAAACACAATTTATCCCTTTTCTAAAATTCCAAGGGCCATTTAAAAGAAAGACACAATATTGTTGTTCACATTTATTTTTATTAACACCATTTATAAATTATGATGACTCCCCTATGGTTTGCCCCATTTCTTTAACTATTTTTAAAAGGGCATACATGGTGATTTTATCGTGTGTGTGTGTGTGTGTGTGTGTGTGTGTGTGTGTGTGTGTGTGTGTGTGTGTGTGTGTGTGTGTGTGTGTGTGTGTGTAATTGATGTCAGGTGAGTGTGGATTGCATCAATTTGTACAACGGCACAAGCACTTGTTGGTGAAACAATAGTGGAAAAAGTGTCAAGCCACTTTTGTTACATTGTGGAGTGCTGTTTATGCACAGCTTTGGAGTGAGGACACTGACACGAGCATTTCACATAGCAGCCTTTACTGACTCGTTCACTATCGAATATACACTCAGTTGTTCTGCGCATGTACAATATCACAGGGGACAAGTACGGAGTCACCGTTAGGACAAAACCTGAAACGTTAAGAATACAATACACAACATATTCCTCCCCTTTTACTTTTGAAGTCAATCTCAACAAATAAATGCTTGATGTCATACATACGTTTGTCTTTAGTTTAAGAACATTTTTAGGAACACTTTATAAAATATTTCTAACTCTAGGGAAGGAGGGTAGACTGCCTCAATTCCCTTGCGGAACCCTGGGGATTATTCTGCCCAAACGTCGTGGGTTAGCCTCTAAACTAAAGATCCAATCTCCGTGGTGGTTTTCACACTCTAGTCGGATAACGATGAAGAACAGGCACCGGTGGTGTTTCTACTAGAGTGTCTGTAACAGTCACTGGAGAGGAAGAGGTATTCTCAATGGGAACGCTTACCCAAGGTTCACTTGAAGATGGTGTGGGTAAGGTTTCTGGTGCCACATTTCGACCCGAGTTGATGTGAGATGCGTGTTGATGTGCGTCCAATTCACAGGGAGCATCACTGGAGATTGTCGAGGACAACAACTGGTCAACATGTCTCCTCCACGTCAACTTTTCCTTTGTTTCAACGATGTATGAAACGGGGCCGGTTTGTGCAAGAACATTTGCAGGTACCCATTTCGCTCCTTTTCCATAATTACGAGCAAGTATGTTGTCACCTCTGTTGAAACTCCTGAACTTCGCTTTGGATCGCCTCTCCACCTGCATTCGCTGTTGTGACAATACAATCTGCTTGGTTCCGGTTGGTCTCAGAAGATCCAGTCTGCTGCGTAGTTGTCGTTTCAACAAAGCTGTAGCTGGAGAAACTTTTGTGATTGCATGAGGAGTGTTTCTATAAGACAATAGAAATGTGTTCAGTCTTTGGTTTAGGGAGCCCTTACCCTGAGATGTCTTTAACGCCTTCTTCAGTGTCTGCACGAATCGTTCAGCCAGGCCATTTGTGGATGGATGATAAGGAGCAGACCTGATGTGCTGAGTTCCATTTACACTCAGAAAAGACTGAAACTCTTCAGACACCAGCTGGGGGCCATTATCACTTACAAGGTGTTGTGGCAGCCCAAAACGACTGAAAACAGTTCTAAGCTCCTCAATGGTCTTCTCAGAGGATGTGTTATGGATGACTGCAACCTCAGGCCATTTACTGTGAGCATCCACAAGAACCAGAAACATGTGGTTCTCCAGTGGTCCTGCGAAGTCTATGTGTATTCTTTGCCATGGCACCTCTGGAAAATCCCATGGATGTAAGGGAGCTGGCTGGGGCATGTTCCTTACATTCTGACACTCTGTACAACCCTTTGCTTCCTCTTCAATCTCTGCATCCAAGCCAGGCCACCAGAAGTAGCTGCGTGCCATCTCTTTCATTCTCACTATTCCCGAATGACCAGCGTGAAGTTCTTTCAACAAACGGCGCCTCAGAGGCGGGGGTATGATGACACGATAACCCCACAGCAAGCAATCCGACTGCACTGTCAACTCATTTCGTCGAATCAGATAGGGTTTGAATTTATCTGTCATCTTTCCTTTCCAGCCCTGAGATATCCTGGTCAGAACTTCTGACAAGACTGGGTCAGTTCTTGTGAATCGTTTCACTTGGGCAGCAGTTACCGGAGCACCTTGCATTTCTTGGAAGTAGAAGATGTCGCCTTGAGGGCATTCTGGTTTTGTGTCTGGCAAAGGCAGCCTAGACAGTTCATCTGCATTGCAATGCTGCTCAGACCTCTTATACTTGATGTCGTACTGGTGAGCTTTGCATAGTATGTTAGCAATCCTAGGAATGATCGCAGCTGGCTTACGTTCTTTGGCGATGGCGCATCCACGATAGCTTTTACCTTTGATGGTGCTTTGTGAAGACCAGCGCTGTCGATCACGTGTTCTAGGTACTCGATGGTGGGCTGGAAGAAGTCACATTTGTCTTTCTTCACCCGAAGGCCATACTCTTTTAGCCTTTGCAGTGTTGCATTCAGGTTCCCGAGATGGTCTTCGTCATCTTTTCCTGTAATTAACAGATCATCGAGATAACACTGTACTCCATTCAATCCACTCAGAATCTGGTCCATGGCCCGCTGGAACAACGCTGGAGCCGAAGTTATGCCAAAAGGAAGCCTCTGATATCTGTACAGGCCCTTGTGTGTCACGATGGTCAGCAGCTCTTGGGAAACAGGATCTACCTGCATTTGGAGGTAAGCTTGACATAAGTCTATCTTGCTGAATTTCTGTCCGCCTGCTAATCCAGCAAACAGATCTTCAATTAGCGGCAAGGGGTATTGTTCAACAGTTAACACCGGGTTGACAGTAACCTTGAAATCGCCACAAATTCTGACTGATCCATCCTTTTTCAGTACAGGAACAATTGGCATGGCCCACTCGCTAACACTCACTTTCTTCAGTACGCCGGTTTCCTCCAGCCGGTCTAGTTCCGTTTCTACCTTAGGTTTAATGCCATAAGGAACTGGACGACCTTGTAAGCACTTAGGTTTACTATCAGACTTAATGGTCAGCTTTACAATGATGTCTTTCATGTTTCCCAATTCATCTCCAAACACCTCTGCATGCATCCTCAGAATGTGTTGTAGGCTGTTAGACTCTTTCGCCACTAAATGTACTTCCTGCCAATTTAGCTTTATTTTCTCTAGCCAAGATCGACCGATCATAGCTGTGTGACTACTGCCTTTCACAATATACAGTGGTAAGTTTACCTTCTGTTTGTTTAGCTCTACAGTCACATCCACGGCTCCCAAAAGGGGTACAAGCTCACCTGTGTATGTTTTCAAGATCAACTTCGCTTCCTTGAGACCGAGGTATGGCCACTTCTCTCGGTAAGTTGACTCTGCCATGAGCGATACAGCAGCTCCTGTGTCCACTTGCATTGGAACAGCTTTTCCATCTAGTAGTGGTGTCACCCAGTAGCCATCAGAATTTGAAGACACAGACATTACATGCGAGTATTCAGTTTCATCAGATTCATCCTCTTGCTGTTTACCTGAATTCTTCACTTGATTTATGTTTTTCTTTTTGAATTTTCTGACATAACTTTTTTTGAACTACAGGTTTAGCTGGATTTGCTTTCTCATTTTGCTTTTTGTTTTGGCACACACGTTCAATATGGCCTTTTTTCCCACAGTTTCTGCAGTCTTTGTCTTTGAACCAGCATTCCTGTGCCAGATGACTACTCTTTCCACAGCAGTAACATACTCTCTTACCATCCTGTTTCATTCTTTCACTGTACACATTGTGGACTTGACAGGATGTGCTTAACTCTTGTGCTTCTTTTGCAGCCATTTCCATGGATACACCGATTTCCATCGCTCGCTCTAGCATTAGATTACTTTCACATAAGAGTCGCTTTTGGATGGTCTCACTACGCAACCTGCACACAAATCTGTCTCTTATGGTGTCACTCAGTGTTGTGCCGAACTCACAGTGGTCCGACAGACGCTTCAGTACAGCAACAAATTGTGCGATCGATTCTCCTTCTAGTTGATTGCGTTTATGAAAGCGGAATCTTTCAGCGATGATGAGGGGTTTTGGTGCATAATGTTCCTGGAGCATTGTTACAATGTCCTTGAATGAGCTATCACCAGGCTTATTTGGCTGGACCAGGCTACGCAGTAGATTATATGTCTTACTGCCCATTACACTGAGAAAAGTTGGTAATAGAATCTCATCTTTTATCCCATTAGCTTTGACAAAATAATCGAACCGCTCCGTATACGAGCTCCACTGCTCGACAGTTTCATCATATGGTCCGATTTGCCCCACTAGATCCGCCATTTTGGTCTATTTGTCAGTGTACTTTACCACTCACTCTTCTTGTACCGGTCTCTTTTCCCTCCCGTGCCGTTTTGCGTCGTCTTTGTGGTGTGCAGCTGCCGTTTGTTTCTCTGTTTGCGCTATTTCCCCAGCGCGACGAGCATCGCACTGACGCACATGCGTTTTGCCTGTTAGCTTCCACTGCTTGACGCCGTCACGGTTAACGAGCCGCCATCAGCTGAATAGCACATACTTTTTTTTTTTTTACAAGTATCTCGGAGAGAGAGAGAGAGAGTTTATCCTCGTCGCCAGTTTTGTTACATCATGGAGTGCTGTTTATGCACGGCTTTCGAGTGAGGACACTGACACGAGCATTTCACATAGCAGCCTTTACTGACTCGTTCACTATCGAATATACACTCAGTTGTTCTGCGCATGTACAATATCACAGGGGACAAGTGCGGAGTCACCGTTAGGACAAAACCTGAAACGTTAAGAATACAATACACAACAACTTTGATTTCCACTTTGCTTTCTTTTGGCCACCGATGATGGACTGTGCAGAGAAAATTGAAAATGACATTAAAACCATGTCCATGTATGTCTCTGTAAGTTGTTTATTTTGTAAGTCGTTAAAAGATGGGTGTTTATAAGTTTAGATAGAGATTTTCATTTTCTTATAGCTAAAGCAAACACACACCTTTATGAGATGCAAGTTAAAAAGAATTTGGTAAAGACAGAGTATGGTAAAACCCACATTAAGTGCACATACCCTACATTTTAGTCCAGACCAGTAAGGTATTTTAAGAAAAAAAATTAAATTAAGATATAAATTAGATAATTAGATCATTTCATAAGAAACAACTCAAACCAGAATTTACATTCAAACCGATATGGGAAAAGTTTTTAATGTGGGTTTTATTGTGTGATGTTGGAAATAATCAAAATATTTGAGTGAGTGTGCAGTAACTCTTTACTTGGAGAGAGAGATTTACATCTATGTATACATATATGCCTATTATAAATGTGTCTTTTGTGTGTTCACACCATAGACTGTAAAAAAAACAAGTTAATATATTTCCAATATCTACTATAATATTGCCCCAGAAACCATGTGGAGTAGGCTATGTTTTAATGCAAGGAGTTAATAGGGTCTTACAAGAAGAGGCCATCTCACGCAAGCTAAAGACTGCAGGCAACAAAAGAAAATTAAAAAGAAAATTAATTTTAAAGTGAGTAGAGAAGACTAGGGTTTCTAAAAGGTTTCTAAAACAAATAATATCATTGAGTCTGTTATAAAGAACCTTTAATTTTTTATATTGACAAAATGTAAAATTGTATTGATTTGTGTAGACTAGCCTAATTCAATCTCTTTCGATGTCCCCCTTGTTTTTTTTTTCTCTTCTCACTGTTAATGTCTTGTATCCTTTCATTTGCAATACAAAATAAATTAATTAATTAATAATAATTAAAAAAAAGATTATTTAACATAACTCAATTCGTGTCGCTGTCCAGCCTCCCCCTACTGGACGCATCAGGAACAACAGGGGCGTAAAACTGCCAGGAGCGTAAAACTGCCAGGGGCGTATATCTGCCGGCTCCAGGTCTGCAGCCTCCCCCTACCCGCCTCACCCAGTTCGGGTCCCGGACCTGGTTGACACAATCATGCATATATAGCTGGCAGAGTGCCAAAACTTTGCCGCCGCCTTCAGCTCCGCCCTGAACACGGTCGAGCCGACGCGGAACTAATATATCACAGGGAGGGATAATAATGAAGGTGCATACAACATAATGAAGCAAGTGCTGGTGCATACAACATCAGACCAGCTGTTACAAGCAGGTTATACAATCACAGCGTCAGGAATAAATCCGCGGGACGAGTTAAGTGCACAAGCACAATAATAGGGCAGAAAGCTGAAACCACCGCATACTGAAAAGAAGCAGAACACAGAAGGTTGTGCTATAAATGCATTAGTTGTCTAGGTAGTCCAGAACGCGCTCCCTACTGAGTCTCAAGGTGGAAAGCACTGCGTAGGCTACTTTTCGTGAACGGACGAGGAGCGTGACACCTTCGAACACTAATCTCGGTAAGCGCCTGTGATGCGTCTTTCAGATCCATCGCTATAAACCAGTCTCCGGGTCGAATGTGCGCGAGGATCTGTTTTATCGTGAATCGTGATCATTTTGAACGCGTGTTTAGCAAGTCTTATGCCACTCGGTACCACTTGAAGATACTCTTTGCCGCTATGGAGGTAGGCTATTTTGTCATGTCTAATGTATTAATAGGGCCACCAGAATGCAACCAAAGCACAATAAGATGGCTATAAGTAATTGTAAATCATTCAAAATAAATCCCATGATCTCTAGATTTTATACAGGTGTTACTATAATGATTTTGTTAATGGTGATCAGCAACCAAATATTGATAATGTGGAAGTTACTTCATTTTGCCTTGGCATGACTTCTCACTTTTTGCTGACAATACAAAGGCAGAGTACAGTAACTTTAAAAAAGTGGTCAAAAGTCAAGTTTGAGCTCAAGATTTTTTTATGTAGATAATTTTCATTACTTAAACATCCAATTGCCAGATTTCCAGTGTCCTACCTATAATTAATTTGGAGGGACAACTAAAAATCTTTAAAGTCTCAGTTCCACACTCTAGCGAGTTAAGGTCTTTTGCCTTTGTAGGGCAGAGTGCTGATTTTGCTTCACTGGCTACCGGTTAAATTTAGAATTGATTTTAAAGTTCTCTTATTTGTTTTTAAGTCATTACAGAACCAGTCTCCACAGTACCTATCTGAATTACTTTGCCCAATCACACAGTCAAGATCACTCAGATCGGGGGACTCTAACTTACTATCTGTCCCTCGAACCAGACTAAAAAATAGGGGTGACCGCGCCTTTGCAGCCTTCGGACCTAGGCTATGGAATAGCTTACCGGCTCACATCAGATCTGCCCAAACTCTGTAAATTTTTAAATCTTTGAAAACTCATTTCTTTTCAATAGCTTTTAATATATCTTGATGTGTGTGTCTTTACATTGTACTTGTATTCTATGTCTTTTGGCCTTGTTAAGCACTTTGGTCAATGTCAGTTGTTTTTAAATGTGCTATACAAATAAAATTGTGTTTTATTGTATTGTATTGTATTGTATTTATATAACAAAAAAATACTGCGCCATTGTCTTTAGACCAGGTTTCAGTTGGTCAATGGCACAGTCTATTTCAGTTGCCTCAAAATAGCAACGCGCCAACAATGCGCCTAAATACACCTCATTTTCAGACCAGCACGCCCATGGGCACACAAATGGGAGCAAATGCATTTGCTATTTAAACAATGTGGCACAGAAAATAATAACTGCGTCGGGCTGAAACTAGAAAAACACACTTGCGTCACGCCTGGCACCAGGTGTATGATAGGGCCCACAGTTTTGACAGCTTCTGCTAAGGTTAAATAAAGAACTAATTCTTTGAATAAGTACAGTGTTTTCTTTACTCAAAAACACCGTACTGTATGTATAAAGCCACAATATAAACTTTGACAATGCAGTGTTTAATTATTTGAGAAATAGTGTTTTTTGAAGATACAAAGTTTCTGGCGTCAGCAACGAAATACAACACTGAACATGAGCACAGCAGTTTTCTAGAAAATGTAATGTAGTGACTCGGATGACAGCAAAGTTCTATATATAAAATTGGATATATAGTATGTACAACTTCATTCACATACATACGTTATACTCGTAAACAACATATACTACTTTGCAAATCTCAAGTGCTTGATAGGTGTTATCTCAAAATGTAAACTATATTATTGATACTATGATACTATAAGACATGAAGAAATTAAGATATAAACATTAACTTCATGATTTTCTGTAAAGCTGCTTTAAAACAATATGAATTGTTAAAAATGCTATAGAGATTTGCCTTGATAGTCTTCATTCCAAAACATCTGGCCGCTGAATGTCGTGATTGACCAATCAGAATAAAGTGTCCTAGAGAGGTGTGGAATAATACGTTAAACTCTTCAGTCACTCTCACAGCCTGTGATGTGGCAATATATTATTCATTAAAGATGCCTGCTTGGATATACACAGAAAGATATGTGTGTCTTGTTCACAGAGGCACCTGTCACCAGGGGGGGAGTTCCTATTACAGGAGCCCTCTGCGTTTTAAAGCCTGTGTGATGACATTTGGTAAATTATTTAAACGTGCATGGCAGGTGTCTGCCGAAGGTGTCAAATGCTATACCAGCGTATTTTATTTTGCCTTTTTATTTTCTTGCCAACTCAAGTCTGCTTCCTCTTTCGTTCTTTTCTTCTTGCTTCTTTTCCTTTTCCAGCATGTCAAATAATATATTTTTTTTCTCCTCTCTATGATTGCTATACCCTGAAGCATTATTGGAGATGCTTCAAATGCAATTCAGAGTGTTGGCCCCTTTATTTTCATGTCCGTACTGACGATATGTGTACACACCACGGTGAGAAGAAAATAAGCTTTTTATTTGGTCTCTGGCAATTGTTCCCTTTCGTCAGCTTAAAGCATTTAGACTTACCATCATCTTATGTTTTCTTTTCCTCTCGCAGTGACACTCAGATATAATCCCCTTGTGAGGAATGTCAAAGGAAGTGCAGTCTCTCCTCCAAGTCCCCAGAGTCTTTTAATACCATTCCAGGATCTTTTGATCAGACTTGTAACCAGCAAACAACAAATTCCTGTGTAAGATTATACCTTTTACCTCACAATTGAATCATTACAAGGGCAAAATACAGACTACACTTTTTCGTTTACTTTATTTATTGTCTCATCCATACTTGCCTTGGATAGTCGCCATATGAACAAACCACCTAGCCATGTCATGATTAGAAAAGGCCATGTGTTCGCATTACCTGGATAAATAAAGTTCTACCAGAAAGCATTCATTTATTAACAGACCAGCAAGCAAGTATAATGTTATGAGGTTCTTCGGCGTAGGCCCCATCCGAAGCTCACAATCAGGGGGTAACGGAATCTGCATTT